CATACATACATACATACAGATGAAAAGAGGAGCATCTGAGCACCACCGCGTCTCCAGGGCCCCGAGAGTGTCGTACTGTTCACGGAACCCCAACCAACTCCAACCAACCAATCTAGACAACTCCTCCCCCCACCGCGACCAACCCGCCACTACTGCGCACACGAGTACACAATCACAGTCGTATATTTACGTTCGTACTCGTGAACACATTCGTATTCTTATTCTTTGCGTTCACGAGAGCATTCACCCCTCTGACGTTTTCTTTCTCTGGGAACTTCTTTGCCCCCCCTCCCCCCTCCTCTCATCCCCCTCCGGCGCCCCCCCCAGGATCCCCCTTGGCCACGACCCCTCCACCCACCCCAGCTCCGGGACCCCCACCGCCCGCAAACCCACCCGCAAACCCACCCGCCCCGCCAGCCCCCGCCAGCCCCCATAACGACCCCGTCACCGTACGACCCGCCGCCAGCTCCCTCCTCTCCGCCCCCAGTAGCAAGGGGGAGAGCTCGGGACCCAGGACCGCCTGTTTGTATGTTTGTATGTTTGTTGTCAGCGCAGGAAGGGATGAAGTGGGAAAAGGGGAAGAAAATGGAATGGTAAGGTTTGATGTCTGGATGTTCATTGTAACAGTGAATATATCTAATATGGTTACTCGTGATTCAAGTAGCTGTGTGAAAATCGCGCAAAACTAAACACAATTTCATGGTTTATAATATTTATTTATTTACTTTTTAAGTAATCAATATTATTTCGAAGGGGCTGTCAGCCGGCGATCTCGTCGTCGCTCCTAACCACCACATGAAGACCGCAACCACCTCAAACCCACAACAGGAATAAAAATAGCTCTCATCCATTTTTTTACCTTTCGAATTTGTAGTAATACCTGAAAACGCAACCACCCGAAACCCACAACCACCTGAAACTATCCCCCCTAACACCCCCGTGCTCCCCCCCGCACTACACCTAGCCAAAATCAATGCTGCTCCGAAACCCTCCGGAAAACTCTCCACCAGCTCCGAAACCCAAATTCTTCAAACAAGCGTATGTATATAATACCTGTACGAGCATATGCAGCTCCGAAACCAGGGCTGCCGCTGTGGGCCTCCTGGGGGGATCTCCCGATAGGCACCTCCTGATCAAAGATCTCAGTCCGGGATTGAGCTCCGGAACCAAGTGACCCAGCAGGGTCGGAGCCACCGGCGTGAACATGGGCGGCAGCAAGTGCCGCAATTGACTGTGTGTGTATGTATGTGTGTGCGCGTGTGTGTGTGTATGTATGTATGGGGACAGGCGGAGGAGAGTAAGGGGGCAGAGGGGAAAGTAGTTAAGGTAGTCAAATTAGTTAAAAGGGGGGAAAGGAAGGATTTGAAAACCGACGATCGGCTCTCAAGTACCGGAGGAGTAAGTACGACAGGCAACACTAAAACCCACACCCACACCCACATTGACGTTCACAGTCACATCACCCCAAAAATGAATGAAGCGATCGAGAAGCTCTCGGGGATTTCCCGCTAAGAAGAAATCCCCACACACACACACCTGAGCCACACAACCCAATACCTTGAGCCACATAACCGCACCCCGCTTGTCTTCCCATTGCCCCGCCTATTAATTAACTTCGGCCTCCCCCCTTCCTCCTTCCCACTTCCGTCCCCCTTCCTCCCCCCTTCCGTCCCCCTTCCTCCTCCCCCTTTCCTCCTCCCCCCTTCCGTCCCCCCTCCTTCCCCCCTTCCGTCCCCCCTCCTTCCCCCCTCCGTCCCCCCTCCTTCCCCCCTCCGTCCCCCCTCCTTCCCCCCTTCCGTCCCCCCTCCTTCCCCCCTCCGTCCCCCCTCCTTCCCCCCTCCGTCCCCCCTCCTTCCCCCCTCCGTCCCCCCTCCTTCCCCCCTTCCGTCCCCCCCCCTCCTTCCCTCACCAGAGCGACACCCCGTGTGCCAAACACCAGAGGCACACGCCGTACGAGTATATGTCAGCGGCCGGGGAGACTTTCCCCGACACGAGCACCTCTGTAGCCGTGTAGTACGGCGTACCCTGGGAGCGTGTGTGTATGAGTCAGGGGATTTGAAGGGGAAAGATGCAACTTTGTCGGATTAGGAGGGAGGGAAGTAGGGGAAAAGGGGTGAATAGCATGTTGCGTGCGTATGTGTGTGAGTTGTACGGAATGATATATATATCCACACCGCGCCCCAGAGAACAAAGCCCCAATCCGTCACCGTATGGAACCACATCGTGCGCATATATATACATATATACTGGCAGACATTTAGACATACAGACAGGCTTACAGGCTTACAGACTTCCAGACATTCAGGAAATAAGGCAAACATACATACAGACAATAAGGCAGACATTAAGACAGACAGACAGACAGACCTGGTGCAACCCGGAGCGATGCGTTTCGTCATTTTCCAGCCGTACACTCAAACCAAAGTCGCTGATCTTGAATACCTGTCATACGGGAATTTAACATGTCATCGCGCGGCAAGCTGAACTGTGTACGGCTAGCCGTTGTTTGTTGCACTGTACAACGGCTAAATTGCAAAATGAACAAAAATAGCAACGAAACAAACTAACGGAGTTCATAAAAAGTCGCCGTAAAGTAACTTCGCACCCAAGCCGAAGTCAGGTACGAGTCGAAATGCAAATCAAAAAGAACGACCTCCCTAATGCCCCTCAATCCAGGAGTCTCATGCTCGTCTGGGCCTGGTGAGTCCAAAAATTCATCATCATTATCATCATCATTGCCATTATTGCCAAATCTTAAATCTTAAATAGGACCCACCTGACCCAACAGCGGATTCACGAGGATGACCCGCTGAGCCATGGGCATCACCCGCCCCCCACCGACGCCGCCGCCCCCCACCGACGCCGCCGACACTGCCGGCACCTCCTCCGTCGATAGGGAGAAGCCGCCCAAAGTTCCAGACTGAGTGAAGGTGCTATAGGTGCCCGCCACGGCCTCGGCATCTTCGTCTGTAGACACGGCGGGGGCGGTATCGGCGGAGCTGGCGCCGCCGCCGCCACCGGCGGCGGCGCCGGTTGCCAGCCGTGCCCTTTGCGGCACTGGCGCCGCCGGCGGCGGCGGCGGCGATGGCCGTGATGGCGGCGTCACCGAGTTCGGTGGGCAGCAGCCAGGCGCGGCGGCGGCGGCAGCCGCAGTCGCCGTAGCCACCGCCGTCGCCGTCGCCGCCGCCGCCGTCACGTCAGAAGATGTCGAGCCGTCGCTGACATTCTGCGGTAACCTGTCCGCGACCCCATGCATCACGCGTGCCGCCATCGTCGTGCCGGCGGCGGCGGCGGCGACGGCGGCGCCGCCACCGCCGCAAGCGCTAGGACCGCCGCCATGAGACGCAAGCGCGGCGGCTGCGGCCGCGAAGACAGCGGAGCTGGAGGTGGATGCATTGATTGCGGCGTCCGGAAATACCGGCTCCGTAGATGCAAGCAAGATATTTTGAAGGGAAAGGTCTCCATGTACGACATTGCAAGCGTGTAGGTAATCCAGACCTCTCGCAACGTCAAGCGCGGCGAAGAGCGCAAGCGCCTGTACGGCAATTCAAGGGAAATCGCACACGTGATACCGTAACAAATTTACCGACTTGTTTGGTTCGCGGTGGTAAGCCCAAGCGATGTTCAATATGTTGTTTAAACTCAGCGTACGGTGCGCACGGACACAGCATCAACATTGGTTGTGAGCGAATAATTTTCTAAACGGTACAATGAGTGGCGTTTTAGGCACGAAACACAGCTCTCCCCCCCCCCATTTTCCCCGTCCCCCCCTTCCCACAAAGCCTCCCCGTTTACCTTCCCACATCCCAAATCCCCGCTCTCCCCCCTACCTTTCGTCCCCTCCTTACATGTCGTACATTCACCACCACGCAAAACACACACGTACATACATACACACATACATACGCACATACATACGCACATACATACCTGGTTCGGGGCCGCTCTGAGGTCCTGCCATGATTCCAGCCGGCCCTCCCTCCCAGCACCGCCCGTAGGGGGCCGCAACGACCGCAAGGAAGCTGCCTCCGACGGTACGGCACCGACTGCCGCCACAGCTGCCGCCGCCGCCGCTGCCGCCGCCTCGTGTTCCTGCAGCACCCGCCGCAGCGGCGGCGGGGCCCCCTCGCGAACCGCGAGTCCTTGACCCAACTGCGGCTGTTGCAGGTGGTGCGGTACACCGAGGCAATCCGGCTCCGCGACGCCGACGCCGACGCCGGGCCCTGCCCCCGCTGCCGGCAAAGGCGGCGCCACTGCGGCCCCCTGGTGCTGCTGCTGCTGCCGCCGTACGGCAGCAGCAGCTGCCGCGGCAGGCCCGGTCACTTGCTGGTACGGCGCCAGCGCCGACGGCGGCCAGGGCTTCTTAAACACCCCATCTCGTAATGCATCTCGCAATGTGCCGCCATCGCAGTACGCCATGAAGATGGACAGCTTGTACGCGGTGACGCCGCCGTCAGCCTCCTCAACCAGAGCCGCCGGTACGGCAGCGTCGGCGGCGGGAGCGCCAGCGTCCCGCGGTGCAGGCCTACAACAATACGTGGCGACGGCGACGGCGGCGGGGGGGTGGGGGGAGGGGGGAGACATGGGGGGAAGAAGACGAACCACATGACCGAGTGAAGCTGATGCCAAGGAGGATATAAACTGACATGCCAAAAGTGAAAAAGGAAGGAATAGCTACCCAGTTGCGACTTGTGAAGAACAAGTCTTCGCGGTGGGTGGGGGGAGGGAAGGAGAGGGGGAGGGGGGCACGGGGGGTAGACCTGGGAATCGGGGGGAGGTGTGTATTATGTATTATGCCACATGAAGTCGTTTTTTGGCGATATCGGAGACCTACCTACGAAGCCGCTAAGACGAAATATTGGCGGGGAGGTTGGCGCAGTGCCAGGTTTGGAGTTGTGGTGGTTAGGTGGTTAGTGGCAGTAACGACAATAGTACGACGCCCCATCGAAGAGATCCGGGGAGTTTGAAGAGAAGGGTATTGACATGAAAGGAGGGGACAAAAGTTAGGACCAAGGCGACCCAAGGCCACCCATGTCCGGATGTGTGTGTGTGTGTGTGTTTGTGTGTGTTGGGGGGAAAAGACGAACCCCGAGCTAGTGAAGCGAGTGTGTTTTTTTGGGGGGGGAGGAAAGAAATTTCCTGGGAGACCAGGGGGATGAACTGCCGGGGTCCTAGGGGGCGGGGGGGGGCCGGAGAAGGCAGCAAGGGGGGGAAAGACGAACCACACACACACGATTGAAGCTGCTGCCAGGGCAAGAGGCCAGGGCACTCAGGGGGAAAGGAGGAGGAGGAGGAGGGGAGGAAATTTGCGCGGAATCAGTCAAACCAAGTCAGTTTTACGAATCAGGGGCAGCATAGGGAAGGAGGGGATTCTATGCATAATAGTCGAGAAGCGGGGAGGAGGCGGAGGACGAGGAGGAGGCGGAGGAGGCAAGGGGAGTTGATTCGTAGTCGAATCGCGCTTTCATAAACAGGTGGAGTGCTGTACACCTCACACAAAAACACACATCACATCACATCTGCGCATGTTCTGACAGCTGGAGAGGACTGCCCTGCACTTGCGGTCCCCCACCCCAACCCCAACCCCTCATTGCGCCCTCCCAACCCCTCTAACCAAAACCCCAAAACCCCCAATCTCAAAAGGCCCCCAAAAGTGAACACCGGGGCCCGTCACCACCGACAGACGTCCCATCCAAAGCCTTCCCGCCCTTCCAAATGCAAAAACACAATAGCAAAATTAAAACCGGGTGTGAGGTTCCGGAGCCCGGGTGCAAAATTAAAACCCTAAAACCTTAAAGCGACCCCCAAATGATATCTGTTAAAGCGACCCCAAAACCCAAGCCTCAACTTCCCCCTCCTGTCGTACCTGTTCGTAATCCTGGGTCGAATCCCCGGGCCCATCACCCCGGGGGAGCCGCAGCTGCCTCCACCCGGACACGCTACAGCGACAGGCTGCACCCTGCAGTAGCAGTATAGCAGTAGCAGTATAGCAGTGTAACACTAGCACAGCAGTAGTAATCGCAATTCAGTAGCACAGCAGAAGAAATGGAACAGTAGCACATTACTCACATCATGAAGTTGCGAGTCAATGACAACACTAGGAAGCCACAGATCCCCCCCTCCCCCCCC